AGTTCATCTTTACTAGGGGTAAGCAGGCCATCTGTCTATTTTAAGGGGTAGTAGACATACTTCTACTATGAAATACTATAGCTCATGTTCCCATACTCTTACAGATTCACCTTCTGTAAGTTCTTGATCTTCTCCAGTTAAATTCACCTTCTCAGTCCCAGTGTATTTTATTGGATTGCCAGAAAAGTCATGATGCATTTTGCATAGAATAATTGCATCATAACTTTTCTGACAACCTAATATTTTCAGTGCAAATGTCTCTAGGAAGAGGAAAGGCATTTGCCCAGCCCGTGGGGAAGGCTGACTGGTGAAGCAGGCAGCGGCCAGGCCAGCTGGACCGAAGGTCGGAAGGTCCGCAGGTCCGCGTTCAGCGGGCCACCGCGGGTCACCTGCTGCCTGTTGCAGGTGCAGGTTACTTCGTGCCTTCTCACACCGGAGTCCTGGAATTTGCATTTGACAAGCAGTCCAGGAGAGGTGGCCGCCTGAGGACACCCAACTGAAAGCTGTGACTAGTGCTGGGGACAGGCAGCCCCTGCCCTGGAGTCCAGATCACCTTTCCTGGGGCCTGACTGCCCGCCTTCTCCAACTGCCTGCCTAAGGGTTGAGTTCCTAACATGCTTCCCGGTTGCTGCAAAATGGTTGCGCCATAGGAACACGCGTGTTCAGTGAACATGCAAGCCTGGGCCGCTCCTGCATGGAGGAGCATCAGGCTGCGTCTTACTCCACGGGCATGTTTTGCCAGCCCAAGGAGTTGGGGATGCTGGTCTTGACCTGGGAGGTGGGAGATTCTGGGCACCTTCCCCATGAGGCCACCTCCCGGGCTGGCCTTTCTCACCCCAGGGTAGCCAGCTGTTTGCAGGTCTTAGACACACCTCCAGGGGACTTTTCACTTTATGCTGTCCAGGGCTGTGTGGTCCCATGGGCTGCCCCTACTCCTCTGATGTGACCCCAGGTAGGGCACAGCCGCTGCCGGTGGCTCCTGGTTTGCTTCCCCTGCAAGGGCCTGGCAGTGCACTTCCCAGCTGGTCTTCAGGTCTCCTCGATGTGTCTGTGGGTTTGGTGAGGTGGGCACGGCCAGCCAGGTGCACTGCAGGAAGCCATGGCAGCTGGCCTTGCTGGGCAGTCTGCAGCCCCTGCCCTGCTCAGACGTGAGTGCAGCGTGGTCCATCCTTGGGTGCTGGGAATCGTGGCTGCAGGTAAAGTGGAGCCGTGACCACCTGTCCTCGGCACACGGCGCTGTTGTTTCTCCCCTCCCCGGAGTGATGCTCTTGTACCTTGGTCGGGTACTCCTTTTTGACCTGCCCTTTGGCTGCAGCCTTCCAAGGAGCCTGTGCAGGATTTCTGGGCTTACTGCGCACGTGCCCCTAGGTAGTGGCAGTGCTTGCCCTGGGGTCTAGGCAGCCGTGAGCGCGCGCTCGGTGGCTGTCCTTTCCCGCGTTCCGGAATGAGCCCGCGTGCTGCCCAGGGTATTTGAGGAATGAGGTCTGCCCCCGTGGTAGAGCAAACGGCCACTTTCTGCGCGGGCTAGTCGGGGTCTGCAGTCAGCCCTGCGGGAGGCCCAGGCCAGCAGCCCTGCTCTCCTCCCCGTGGTGTTGCCTCATCGGGACTGAACCTGTCAGCGACTGCGGAGCCCACCGTGAGGGGAGGCCCCAGGGTGCACACTGGCGTGTCCTCAGACGTGACTTAGCACAGTCTGGTTGTTGGGCGCACAGGGACTTGGGTGAGCTCCTGCGCTGCCTCCCTGCAGACCTCTGGGTGACAGACAGGAAGCGTTGGTGGGGTCTTTATCACCTGGAGGGGTGAGCGCAGGGGCACATAGCACGGCACCTGGAAGGGTCCGCCTGGAGTCAGGGTGACAGCACAGCGAGGCTCCTGGTGGTTTGGGCCAGGCTCCGCCACAGGCTCAGCATGGTGGTCAGGTGCTCTTCCTTGTCCTTGTTCCTGGAAATTGATTTTCAAATGTGATTTGTCTACCGCCTAGGCCCCTCGCTAGCAGACGGCCTCCTGCCATCCTGAGTCTCCAGCAGCATCTCCTGCCTGGTGGGCTTCGGAGTCATGGCAACAGAGGAGAAGAAGCCAGAGACCGAGGCCGCCAGAGCGCAGCCGACCCCCTCGTCATCGGCCACTCAGAGCAAGGTGCTCGCCTCGGCTCCCTGGGGCCTCCAGGGCGTCGGAGATGTCTCAGGTCCCCAGGGGGTCTCCCTCCGCAGTTAAATATCGTGCTGTTGTTCCCTGCGTGTGGCGTGCCCTGCTGGTGGTTCCCAGACCTGCCATGGAACGATTCGTGGTCCAGTTTGTAGGGGTCTGTGGGCCCCAGGAAAGAGCTCTTAGTAAGCCCCGTGGGCCCCAGTTCTAGTTTGTGGGCAGCCGCAGGCTTGGCTGGAGCGAGCAGTGCTTTGGCAGTGGGGCGGGTGCTGAGGCGCGGCTGGAGCTGGCGGGGACCTCTGATGCAATGGTGTCCCGTGTTGGGGTGGCGGCCCCTATGCCAGGGGGGGTGGATTTAGGGAGAAGTAGCGGGTGTGTTCCATTGGCAGCGAGGTCCGGGGGCAGGTGCCCGGCAGGCGCTCATGAGATAGGTCTGAGCTCGAAATGGGACTTCGGGGACCTCGCCCGGGCTGGCATCGCACTAAGTGTGCTGCCCCTCCAACAGCCTACGCCTGTCAAACCCAACTACGCCCTGAAGTTCACCCTGGCTGGCCACACGAAAGCTGTGTCCTCTGTGAAGTTCAGCCCGAACGGGGAGTGGCTGGCGAGTTCGTGTGCGTATCCGAGTTCCTAAGCAGCTGGGGGGCGGCCTGGGCTGTAGGCAGGCGCCGGGGTGAGGGGGGTGACGGCTCACTTCTACCGCGGGCCTCGGTAGCAAGCCCGTGCCCCCTCACTGGAACTGTGAGGGACTGCCCAGTGCCTGGGGCCTGGCAGGGGACTGGCCCTGTCCCTCCTGTGGCTGAGCCGAGGTACCTGAGCGCTTTAGTCCTAGTGGCTTCCGGGCTCCTGTGTGGGAGAAGCCAGCGCAGACCGCAGCCTCGGGCTGGTGGACAGCCCTGCCCCTGCTCTAGCCGCAGCTCCTCCTCTTTCAGCTGCCGATAAACTCATTAAAATCTGGGGAGCGTACGATGGGAAGTTTGAGAAAACCATATCTGGTCACAAGCTGGTAGGTGTCAGCCGCACACCACGAAGGTAACTGGGACTCGCTTCTCGGGACCCGAGGGCTAGGGTGCCAGCCCCCAGCCCTGCCGTCCTCCTGCAGTCGTTTACCCGAACGCCTGTGACCCGCACAGGACCCAGCCTGCGAGGCCTGGAGGGCAGGAGCCTGCCTGTCCTCGAGGCAGGGCCATGTGCTGGTCTTTGGGCTCCGTGCCAGCTGGAGGGGTCTCTGCTTCTGTGGGGATGGTGGCGTTCGGGGGCGCGGCCAGCTGCCGGCTAGTTGTTTTCGTCCTGCCCGGATGATCACCTTTTTACATCTTACCCCAAGGGAATATCCGACGTGGCCTGGTCTTCAGACTCGAACCTCCTCGTGTCTGCCTCTGACGACAAAACCCTGAAGATCTGGGATGTGAGCTCGGTAAGCAGCCCTGGCTTCTCCCTTGGGACAGCTGAGGCAGGGCCTGCCGGGGAGGCCGCGTGTTTGGGGCACAGCCAGTCTCGAGGGGTGTGTGGATAAGTTTGGGGACAACGCTGGGAATACCTTTGTCTGCCGGTGCTGTCTCAGGGCAAGTGTCTGAAGACCCTGAAGGGACATAGCAACTACGTCTTCTGCTGCAACTTCAACCCCCAGTCCAACCTCATCGTCTCAGGATCTGTGAGTATCACCTCCTCTCCGGGCGACCCCTGGGGCCCTGCCGGCAGCACCATGGGGGGGGTGCTGCCAGGACCTGGGTTCTGGGGAAACTGGCACCCACCGTCCTTCCCACAATCACTTTAACCTCTCTGGTCATCTTCAGTTCGATGAGAGTGTCAGAATATGGGACGTGAAAACCGGGAAGTGCCTGAAGACTTTGCCTGCTCACTCGGACCCAGTCTCAGCGGTAAGTCCCCGGCATGGGAAAGTGGTGCGGTCCAGGCTGCGTCTCCGTGAGCACCAGCTGGCCTCCAGCCCTGCGTCCCTCTGAGTGTCAGGGCAGCGTCTGCCCAGGTCCCTCTGCTGCGGGAGTAGGGCACTGTTCAGCCGTGGGTCCCTCCGGAAGGCCCCGTGGTGGTGCCCAGGTCCCTCTGTTGCAGGAGTAGGGCACTGTTCGGCCGTGGGTCCCTCCGGAAGGCCCCGTGGGGGTGCCCAGGTCCCTCTGCTGCGGGGGTAGGGCACTGTGCAGCTGTGGGTCAC